TGCCCAGATAATTTTTGGTATTTTTTGTTGAGACAGGTTTCACCATGTTGCTCAGTCTGGTGTCCAACTCCTGGACTCAAGTGATTCACCTGCCTTGTCCTCCCGAAGTGTTAGGATTACAGGCATGAGCCACTGCACCTGGCCCACATTAATTCTTTGAAATATAAGATAGATCATAACACTTCCCTGCTCAAACCCCTGAGGACTTCATATAAACTCACAAGTCTTACAATGGTTTAGAAGGTTCAACATGACCTGGCCTCCCTGGCTGCAGGGTAGGGACTAGGGTGAGGTGAAGGAGGTATGTAGGGCACAAATTTGCAGCCAGTTCCACAGATCACCTTATGTCAGACTGGACTTCTCACCTCATCTGCTGTGTCTTCCCTCGAGCTAACTCCACTCTATCCATAGTGGCCAGTATGTTGCTCCTTGAGCAACTAAGCACACTTTTGCTTCAGTGCCTTTACATTGCTATTTCTTCAGAGCTCTGGGACATTCTGCTCCTAGGCATTGGGCATAACTTAATTTCTCACTTCATTTAAATCTCTTGTCAAATGTCACCTTCCCCGAAAGGCCTTTTTTGACAATTCCATTTGAAGTACAGCCACATCACTTTCTAACCCCTTTCATTTTTTTTCCCTCCTAGTGCTTATCACCCTGGGTATCATATTATTCTTTATTTGTTTTTCATTTTTTCTACTAGAACAGAAGTGCCAGGAAGACAGTCTCTGCCCTACTTACTGTTTTAAAATTACCAGAGTCTGGGACAGTGTCTGGCATATAGAAGATGTTTACTAAATATTTGTTAAATGAAAACAAAGATATGACAAATTTATTTCTGTGAACGACAATGGAAACATTCAAGTGCTTTCTGTGAGCCAGGCACTGTTCTAAAAACTCTAAGTATATTAACTGATTTTATCCTCTTAAGGTTTTCAGATGAGAAAACGGGCGTGGAAAGACCAAATAACTTGACAAACTCACACAACTGGTAGTTACGGCTGCATCTGAATCTAGATAATGTGGCTCTAGCAGCCAACGCTTGTACATGTGTATGTTCTGATTGTATTTTTACTCTTTGTGATTACGTAGGATGTTAAAAATGAATACATACTGCAGTATACATTTTACAATTTGATGACTGCTCTAAACATGTTAACAACTTATTTACTTGAATAATCTTTAATATTATCGAAAGTTTTATTAGGAATTTCTGGGTAAAAGTATGGGAGAGGAAAAATTTATTAAGCATTTATTAATTTATCTAGCTCAGGTTGTTAACACAGATTAAATATTGCTTTCATTTGGGTGCATTAATTGGAAATGTACTTTTAAACTGTCTATTCTTTTTTTCCAATAAGTTTAGAATTAGGGAATAGTAGGAGCCACTCATGTAGATAAGCTGTATAAGGTGGCACAGGTGGCAAACCGGGCAAGGGCTAATTTTATAAATCCTTAAAAATATGAAATAAAATTATTCTCAATAAGTAAGAGTGTTGAATTTAAAGAGGTGTGTGCCAGATGGCCTGATGGAAATTCAACACCATTTTCCCTCTCTTGTATTTTCTTGTGAATTCTTGGTAATAACATTTTCCCAAATCTGTGCCAGTAGGGTTCTGGATTAGATTCCACCTAGGAGAGGCTCTTGAGCAAGATTTGGAAGGCAGAAGAGCACCAGAAGCCATGAATTCTCCTGCAGGCAGGTTCATGGGTCTCAGCAGATGGGATATGTGATGTTCTGCCAGCAGCTTCCCAGCATCCTCTGGTGCATCTCAAACTTGGAGGCTGCAGGCAGCTGAGCTCACTGGTGGTGGTGGTCTATGAGCCTGTACGTCCTCATTTCTGGAAAATCAGTGGAGGCTTTTTCTGACTTTTGCTGTCCCAAACCTGTAACGGATTTTGTAAACCTCTGACTTACTTTATTAAATTTATTTCTGCATGAAAAAAAAAAAAGATTTTATTTCCTAAGCAGGGCAATAGAGATGGAAATGTTTGTTATATTATTATCGACAAGTTTTGCATGGTAGAGAAATTTTACAGCTAAAAAAAAAAAAAAAAAAAAGGAACAGCAAACACCTGCAGCAGGTGTTAGAGTTTCCCAGGGTTTTTCCACATGACCTCATGGGACAAGGGGGCTTCCTGTAAGCCCAGCTCAGAGCAAGGTGGGGCCTGGGATTGGGGGTTCTTCCAGAGCTCCCTAACTGGGGGGAAATTCCAATCAGGCCAAGAGAGGAAGGGACAGCCTAGGACGCCACCTCTTCTGGGTGAGATGGGGAGAGTGGGTCAGAATAAAGCCTGATCTTACACTGTCTTACTAACAGTTCAACAAGTTCTAGCCCGTTGCCCAGGTAGAGCTGATTTATCACGACAGGGGAATTGCAGTAGAAAGAGTTTGATACACGTAGAGCCAGCTAAACAGGAGACTGGAACTTTATCATAACTTCAATCAGCCCCTCAAAAATTCAAAACTGGGCCTTTTAAGGATAATTCAGCGGGTGTGGGACCAGGGAGTGAGGAGTGTATATTGGTCGGGTTGAAGATGAAATCATATGGAGGTTGAAGTAGATTCTTTTTCTTTTTTTTGGAGACAGAGTCTCCCTCTGTCACCCAGGCTGGAGTGTGGTGGCATAATCTCGGCTCACTGCAGCCTCTGCCTCCCGGATTCAAGCAATTCTCCTGCCTCAGCCTCCCAAGTAGCTGGGATTACAGACATACACTACCACGCCCGCCTAATTTTTGTATTTTTAGTAGAGATGGGTTTCACCATGTTGGCCAGGCTGGTCTCGAACTCCTAACCTCAAATGATCTCCCACCTCGGCCTCCCAAAGTGCTGGGATTACAGGCGTGAGCCACCGTGCCAGGCCTGAAGTGGATTCTTGCTGTCTTCTGTTCCTGGGTGGGATCGCAGAACTGGTTGAGCCAGATTACAGGCCTGGGTGGCACCAGCTGGTGCATCAGAGTGCACCGCCAGTGCAGGGTCTGAGAAATACCTCAAGTGCCCATCTTAGGTTTTACAATCGCGATATTATCCCTAGGAGCAATTGGGAAGGTTCAAAATACTGTAGCCAGCTGCGCGACTCCTAAACCATAATTTCTAATCTTACGGCTAGCCTGTTAGTCTTACAAAGGCAGTCTGGTCCCCAGGCAAGGAGGGGTTTGTTTAGGGAAAGGGCTGTTAGCATCTTTGTTTCAAAGTTAAACTATAAGTTCAGCCTATGCCCAGGAATGAACAGGGCATCTTGGAGGTTAAAGGCAAGATGGAGCTGGTTAGGTCAGATCTCTTTCTCTGTCATAATTTTTTTTTTTTTTTTTTTTTTTTTTTTTGAGATGGAGTTTCGATCTTGTTGCCCAGGCTGGAGTGCAGTGTTGCGATCTTGGCTCACTGCAACCTCTGCCTCCCAGGTTCAAGCGATTCTCCTGCCTCAGCTTCCCAAGTAGCTGGGATTACAGACACCTGCCACCACACCCAGCTAACTTTTTCATATTTTTAGTAGAGACGAGGTTTCACCATATTGGCCAGGCTGGTGTTGAACTCCTGACCTCAGGTGATCTGCCCGCCTCGGCCTCCCAAAGTGCTGGAATTACAGGTGTGAGCCACCACGCCCGGCCGCTGTCACAATTTTCGAAAAGGTGGTTTCATCTTCACCCAGGTGTGGGGACTTGCCGCTGGCTCCCCGTCAGACACACCTGCTGTGCGTCAGCTCTGGGTCCGTCGGACACACTGCTGTGCGTCAGCTCTGGGCTCCGCTTTAGGACACCTGGGAGGTGTCCCCGTTTAGAATCTGATTTCCTGTTGGAAACTCTCCCCAGAATTTCTCGTGACTCCAGTCTGCATTGTGGCCCCCACCCCCATGAATAATGGGGAGAATAAATATGGACCCAGTTTTGTCTACATCACAGGGCTGCTGTGAGAATCAAAAAGGGTGAAAAAACCTCTCTAACGGTAGAGACCAGAGTCTAACTGCAATTTTGCATTTTTTCTTAACCATCCCCCTGTTGTTTGATTGTGTTTGCCATTTTCTCTGCTATAAATAGCACTGCGATGAACATCTTTACATGACTGCATGCCGGCGAAGGGAAAAGTTCCCTTTTCCCTCTGAAGATTCACTGAAAATCAACTGGCAAAAGGCAGATTAGTAGGAGAAAAAGCATACACATTTACTAACATTCATGGGAGAGAATTACAGTGTGATTACCCCAGTCTCCCAGTCGGGTACAGAAGCTTATGTACTCTTTTTCCTAGAGGAGCAAGGAGATGGGGAATACACAGCATTCTTTTGAGGAGCAGTAAATGATTATTACGGAGAATGAATGGACCAGGGAGACAGAAATTAACTTGTAAATGGAATGAGTCTGAGAGGCAGACATTATCTTGTGGAAAAGTCCATCCACGTGTGGTTGGACCTCTGACTTCTTTTCTTCCAGCTTCTTTTCTGCAGTGGATAGTGGCGTAACAGAGGGATAGAAGGCAAATGTGTTTCTTTCGGCAAGACGCTTTCTAGGTCAGATAAGAAAATTCTGCACTTGAGCACTTGAGGGGTGAGAGGGAGAGAACAAGACAAGGTTAGAGAGACCTTGATGCTCAGGCTTATTTCTGAGGCCTTTCAATTTTCAAAAGTACTCAGCATGCCCAAGCACCATATTCTGAGGAATCATTTTCTGCACCCCAACACATATTTTTGGTTAAAGTATATAAATGGTTTCTATGGCTTTTCAACCTGATAATCGAAAGGATCAGAATCCTGTTCTAAAGAGTTCATGCAGCCAGTGGCTAACGCCTGTAATCCCAACACTTTGGGAAGCCAAGTGGGGAAAGTGGAGCACCTGAGGTCAGGAGTTCGAGACCAGCCCAGCCAACATGGTGAAACTCTGTCTCTACTAAAAATACAAAAATTAGCCAGGCATGGTGGCACATACCTGTAATTCCAGCTATTCAAGAGGCTGAGGCAGGAGAATCGGTTGAACCTGGGAGGTGAAGGTTGCAGTGAGCTGAGATTGCGCCACTGCATTCCAGCCTGGGCAACAGAGCAAGACTCCATCTCAAAAAAAAAAAAAAAACACGAGTTAATGCAAGTGCAAAATTTAAGGATGACTGTCCGGGAAACACAGACTTCAGAGGAATGGAATCAATGCTCTGAAATGGAGAAGTTAAGGTTTTACTTCTATAGGTAGAAACAGAGAAGTTTAGCAGGATGACTAAAGTTTAGCAGCCTTTTCCATACAAGGCTGGTTTATGAATTATAGCAATCTGACTGGTTGCAGCTTGTTCTTTTTCAGGAATGGTATAGTCAACAATCTATCTTGAGTAAATTGATTGTCACAGAGCCTTTGGTGCTATCTGGTCGGAGTCAGGTGCAAGAGAGGAAAGAAGGAAGTTAACCTACAAGGAGAGTCAGTAATGAGGAAAAAGGGGTCTTTCCTCCAGTGCCATTTAGTCTTTTACAACATTTTACAAAAGAATGTAGGTGGGGAAAAGGTTGATCTACAATCAGAGAAACAGCCTGTGGCTGCCTTTATGTGACTCAGGCCCCACTTTTCTTCCAAGTCTCCAAATACAATCCCAACAGGTTTGTAAGCAGACAGGGAGGGTCTTCAGGGACTATAGGCATTTCGTCAGCCGGAGCAATAAGCCTGTTTGACAGCCTCCTGCTTTGCAGCGTGTTTTATCCCAAACCCTGTGTTGAATGTGGTCACCTCATTGCTGGCACCAGCTCCTGACAGACCCAGGCAACTTCTAGATCAAGCTTGTCCAACCAGCGGCCCAGGACGGCTTTGAATGTGACCCAACGCAAATTCATAAACTTTCTTTGAACCTGATGAGATTTTTTTTGCAATTTTGTTTAGCTCATTAGATACAGTTAGTATTAGTGTATTTTACGTGTGGCCCAAGACAATTCTTCTTCTTCCAGTGTGGCCCAGGGAAGCCAAAAGATTGGACACCCCTGTTCTAGATGAACCTGAGTGCACATTCCTCATGACCACGCTGACCATGAGCTCCACCTTGGGAGGAGCCACACCTTCATCACCATCACAGGCAACCTGTGGGCTGGCACAACGATGCCCTGTGTCTGCAGCCGCGGGCCCCTCGTCCCCTCCATCACTGCATAAAACCCTCCTGTCACTTTCCCTCAGGGAGACACTGCTTTGGAGAATCCTTGCAGGGCTCTTCTTACCTGTGGTGAGTCATCAAACTCCTACTGATCCAAACCTGCATTCTCGTGGAGAGCCGTTTGAGATTCACCAGGTGAATGAACCCCAGTTTTTTTCTGGGTATCAGGTCGAATGTGGATTACTTATTTTCACAAGCTCTTGACGTGTTCTGTCAAATTGCTGTTTCCCAGAGAGTAGACTCTGGTGACATACAAGTGTGTGGGACCATTGCATCTTATCCCAGGAGATCCACTCCTGATCTGGCATTATTCAAAATCTGCTGAATTCAAAACGGTCCTCTGCTTCCTGCTCACCAGGTCTGAAAAGAAAAAAGAAGAAGGAAAGACTACGCCTGACAAAAGACAGGGGGAGACGTTTGTATTAGTTTGCCAGTTTGAGGAAATGCCTTACTTTGCAATATTGTAAATCCAGTTTACAGCTCACTTGACAGCTTTGAAATGACTTATTTTTTGGCATACATTTGAAAAGTCAGGAGAGCTGAGACAAAATGAAAATTTATCAGTATTTAACATTTGATAAAATACCTTGAATATTTTAAATGCTCATAAAATGCTATTACGCTACGCTTTATTTTATTTTATTGATTTTATATTTTGAGACGGGGTCTCATTCTGTTGCTTAGGCTGGAGTGCCGTGGCATGATCACAGCCTACTGCAGCCTCAACCTCCTGGGCTCAAGCAATCCTCCCACCTCAGCCTCCCGAGTAACTGGGACTACAGGCACCCGCCACCACACCCGGCTAATTTTTGTATTGTTAGTAGAGATGGAATTTTGCCATGTTGCCCAGGCTGGTCTCAAACTCCTGACCTCAGGTGATCCACCCACCTTGGCTTCCCAAAGTGCTGGGATTACAGGCATGAGCTACCATGCCCAGCTGACACTATACTATTTCTGCAAGGCATTCTCCAGCATTGGGCACTATTATTTTGTTTTGTTTTTCACCCTAAACAAATAGGACGTCTAACTACCAAGTTTGTAGCTCTAGGCCTTGAGATCCATTTGTAAGAGTGGGGAAGAAGGAGGCAAAGTAATATATGTGCTAGCTAATAATTACATGTTCTGCTTATTAAGAATTTACTTTCTTTTTGGCCGGGCACGGTGGCTCACACTTTGGGAGGCTGAGGTGGGTGGATCGCCTGAGGAGTTCGAGACCAGCCTGGTCCAACATGGTGAAACCCCGTCTCTACTAAAAATACAAAAATTAGCCAGGCATGGTGGCGCGCACCTGTAATCCAAGCTACTCAAGAGGCTGAGGCAGGAGAATCGCTTGAACCCGGGAGGCAGAGGTTGCAGTGAGCTGAGATTGTGCCATTGCACTCCGGCCTGGGCGACAGAGTGGAAAAAAAAAAAAAAAAAAAGTACTTTCTTCCAGGTCCTGTGCCAAGCACTTGTGTTATCTCATGTATCCTTGGATCCTTTTCTGTAGGTTCAATTACCCCCATATTACAGACAAGCAAACTGAGGTGCAGATCCCAGAGAGGTGAGAGAGAGCACCATTCTGGTATGTAGCAGGGGGAGTCAGAGAACAAAAATCGGACTGACTGATAAGAGGCAGAGGCACTGGTGCGGGCTCTGTCCCCAGCTTCCAGCTCATCATTCAACCTTCTGGGCCTTGACTCTGCCCTAAGGAGAGGCTGAGGACCAGGTGATGGGCACCAACGTTTGGCTTCTTCTCATCCCACAGGCCAGACCCCCTGGGCCTCACCTTCCAGTGAGGGAAGGGAGAGGTGCCTGCCTTTTCTTTTTCTGCACAGAGCAGGAGGGGAGTCGTGACCTCCAGGGCTCAGCAGAGCATGAGCCTGGCCATTGCCAAGCGGCCCGCCCATCCGTGCTGTGGTTACACCGTCTTCATGCTGGTTGGGGAGCCCCGAGAACTCAGGTTTGGTTCATCCTCCAAACACGTGAACACGTGTTGAGCACTGACTGTGAATGCAGCAGCTGTGATGGGGGCTGAACTTAGGGCCAAGGAGCCAGGCTCCACTCCACTGTGACACCAGGTGTGGGGCTCGGGGACGTCACCCCTGTGGCCTCAGACCGCAGTTTCCTTTTCTGTAAAATGGGGATGGTGATGACTACCTCGGAGGGTTGTTGTGAGGCTTAAATGCGAAGATGGGCATGGCTGAGGCCAGCACGGGGCTCTGTAAAGTGTGAGTAGAAAGGGGCTCTCCAGGTGCACTCCGGGGATGACTCAGGCGCCCGCTGGGGATGCTCACCGGCCCGTACTGACATCCAGAATGGACCACAGGGGAGAAAGTGGCAGGCCAGCAGGAGGGAGGCACTTTCACTAGGGGCTGGGAAGGGTCCTGGGAGGGCTTCCTGGAGGAGGTAGTGTTTGCACCAAATGAAAACCGGTTCTATTCAGTGATGAGACTTGCTGCCTGCAACCAGAACTTCCGTTTAAAAACTGGACAGAAGACTTCCCCCAGGAGGTAACTTCAGACTGACTCCTGCACCCAGAGAGGGCATCCTTAGAGCATCTTGGGGGAAATCCACCCACCCCTATGTATTTTATTTATTAGACTCCCTACCCCTGAATGCCCTCGCAGGACCACCAGGTTCCTGGTGCTGTCACCAAATACCATCTGGAAGCCTCCTCATTCCACAGGTGATTGTGAAAATAAGACCTTAAATGTTTCATTTTGGTTTTTTCCCCTGAAATAAAACCAAACATAATGACTAAGAAAAGCTCCACTTCTCCTCCAGGGCACCGCTCCCTCTGGTGGAGGGTTGGTTTCTGATTTAGATACTTTCTATATATGAATTACAGGGAAAGGGAGGCCTGGGAGCAGGTCCGGGGCAGCTCCTCCTGGCCAGCTGGGCGGCTGCCTGGGATGCCCTGCAGGCTCTCAGGGGCTGCCAGGACGCCTGGCTTCTGCCTGAAGTGAGCAGCTCTCAGTCCCTATTGGCCACACCTCTGCGGCATCAGGAGAGGGCTTGGGCGCACACAGGGGCTTTGGTCTTTCTCCTGAGAGCAATGAGGAGCTATGGAATGTGGCAGGCAGGGGAAGGACAGGACTAGATTTGCTTTTTAGAGAAGACCCTTGGGTGATCCCAGGAGATCAGGTTGGAGGAGGCAAGGCTGGAGGCCAAGAGGTCTGGGCAGGGCCTTCAGGGAGGGGAGGAGGGAAGGGAAGAGGGACCCACTAAAGGGTGGGGAGTAGCTCCCTGGGCTGCCCGTTGTTGGTCATGGCTCTGCCCTGGGGCCCAGGCCTGATGTCCACCTTGGGCCTAAGTTCCTGCAGGTGCAGCTACATGGGATCTGAGCTGGCGCAGCTATGTGGGGCCTGTTCTGGGCTAGTGACTCACTTCTGAACAGCTTTGGCAGAATGAGGCAGTTTTCCCTTTCACAAAACTCATCACAGTTCAAGCCTTTGGCCCCAAACAGTGGCAGATGCCAGAGGGATTTCCTGAGGTGGTTGATGGGACTTTTGCTGAAATGGTAGCATGAACTTCACCTGGGCCTGCAGGGAGCCATCCCCTGCCTCCATCCCCTTGCTCCTCCTTGGCCTGTCCTAAATCAGGGATGGGACCTTGGTCCTTATCCAGGGCAACCTTGGCCTTCAAGCAGCATGCCTGAGCTCCTCCCTCAGGTTCTGCTCAGACGCTTCTTCCTCAGAACCTGCACGCCCCGCCGGGTCGTCACATAGCAAGGCCCATGCCTCCTCCTCCAGGACGCTGCACTCTGCCCAGATCTCCTTGGGTGATGCTAGCTCATGGGGTGTGGGGAGTATGGAAGCCCAGCTTCCTTGCTTGGGGTGGGGTTTTGATTACCCTGAGATGTAACTTACATTCCAGAGCGGCCCTTGGGATAGCAATGAAGCAACTCCCTGCTGGATTGGCCAGACTTGGTGTTGTTAGTCTTCCTTCCCTCCCCTCTCCTGCTTCCCACTCCTTTCCTGGTTTATTCTGGGGCACTTCCTTAATAAATCACTTGCTCACAAATCCTCGGCAGAGAGCCTGCTTCTGGGGACCTGACCAAAGACACAGCTTCCAGGGGTCACTCCTGCTGTTTCTCACCTTGGACAGATCCTCCCTGACTGCACCCCTGTAAAACAGAATGCAACGCAGAGCTCGTCTCCTGGGGGGAAGCTTCCTGAGGTCCCATGACGCCTCGGCAGGCCCTGTTCCTGGTGCCTCAGTCCTGGGAGGTAGCCCTCCCCTTGGCTCCACCCACAATTGAGTCTGCACATAAAGTTGTTCTGCCCACCTTGGCTCTTGACTCCACCCCCACCTCATAGCCTCTCTGGGCCTCCGTGGCTCCATCTGTACAATGGGGGCACAGGCTCTGCCCCTGTGAGCAGTGGTGTGACTCTGGTTCTGGATTCCTGCTCCCAACCTCACCCTGTGGTAGCTGAGCCAGGACATCTGGAAAAGAGGAGCCCAGCTTGTTCAAGAATGAACAGTTGGGTCCCGGCTCAGAGAATCAACCATTCTGGCTATTACAACTCATTACTAAATCCCAGCTATGCCCTGAGAAGGATTAAGGAAACTGCTCTGGTAAAAAATCCCCAGCAGAAAGAATGCACTCCCTCCCAGGGAGCCCTAGAAACCTGGCCACGGGAATCTTCTCCTGGCAATCTCCAACCAATTCACATTCCGGGTATTTGCATGCCAGAGGGCCAGCTGGGCATCTGCGCCATCGGCCCATGCCTGGCAGAAAAGCGGCCCGAGGTGCTAGCTTTCGGATTCACCGGCAGGACTTTAGGTAGTGCCAGCAGCTGAGGGAGCTTTGTTAGGCTGCATCGCCCCACGGAGGAAACCTGAGGCTGGATGGCAAGAAGCCTGGACAGGGTGCTGCTCTGCCTTGAACCTGCTGGCGACCCAGGCAGGACACTGTCCCCTGTTAATCCTCAGCTTTCCCACTTAAAAGTTGGAAATGGTATCCCCATTTACAGGGATTTACTCACACAGAATATGTCTATGGAGTGTTCGCCATGTGGGGACCCAAGCTGGGCACTGGAACCATGAAAAGGCTTGAACCCTACCCTGTCCTTGCCCTGTGTCGCTCCCAGGCTTGAAGCTGAGAAGGTAAAAGGAGAGGGTCAGAGGGAGAAGTGGGGTATGTATGTGGGGTCACATTAGCACAAAGCTAGAGGCCTGCCGCTGTGATGCCTTGAGGCTATGGGTGAATAAGCAGATGTAGCCTAAGGAGCCACTGGGGTTGGCTGGCAGGTCAGGACAGGGCAGCCATCAGGGTTGTGGTCACATGCTTCAGTGTTACTGTCTTAATCTATTTTCTGCTGTTATCACAGAATACCGCAGACTGGGTAACTTGTGCAGAAAAGAACTGTATTTGGCACATGGTTCTGGAGGATGGGAAGTCCAGAAAAATAGTGCCAGCAACTGCAGACAGTCCTCCCGTGGCACAAGGCATCACATGGCCAGCATGCACACAAGACAGAGAGAGAAATGGGGCCAAACGTATTCTTTCATCAGGAGCTCACTCTTGCTGTAAGTGACCCACTCCTACAATAGCTGCATGAATCTCTTCGTGAGGGCCGAGCCCCTCATGACCCAATCACCCTAAAGGACCCATTTCTCAACACTGTCGTCACAATAGCAGTCACATTTCTTTCTTTCTTTTCTTTCTTTTTTTCTTTTTTTTTTGAGATGGAGTTTCATTCTTGTTGCCCAGGCTGGAGTGCAGTGGCACCATCTCGGCTCATCGCAACCTCCGCCTCCCAGGTTCAAGCGATTCTCCTGCCTCAGCCTCCTGAGTAGCTGGGATTACAGGTGTGAGCCACCATGCCCAGCTGCATGAGTTTTGGAGAGGACATTTCAACATGAGTTTTGGAGAGGACATTCAAACCACAGCAGTTACCTTCACCTGGATTTGAGTCCAGCTCAAGCGTGGTGACCTTGGGCAGGTCCTTCAGGCGGAAGGACTTGAGGCTCTCTGAGCTGCAGTTGTCTCGACTTGAAAGTGGGAATCCTGGCCAGGCACGGTGGCTCACGCCTGTAATCCCAGTACTTTGGGAGGCCAAGACGGGCAGATCGTGAGGTCAGGAGATCGAGACCATCCTGGCTAACACGGTGAAACCTCATCTCTACTAAAAATGCAAAAAAATTATCCAGGCGTGGTGGTGGGCGCCTGTGGTCCCAGCTACTCAAGAGGCTGAGAATGGCCTGAACCCGGGAGGTGGAGCTTGCAGTGAGCCGAGATTGCGCCACTGCACTCCAGCCTGGGTGACAGATCTGTCTCAAAAAAAAAAGAAAATGGGAATCCTAACAGTGCCCACTTGAAGGCTTGTTGTAGGGTGAGCATCACATAGTTTGAAGCCCAATACTGTCTGAGTAGGGGTGGTTCCCTTGCCCCTCTGAATCTTCCAGGCTGGGGCCCTCTGCTCCCCAGAAGAGCAGACTGAGGGGCTGAGAAAGGGGCAGGTGGCTTCCTGTGTGGGGTGCAAGGCTGCAGCAGGCTGAGTCTGGGGGCAACCCAGGTCTGCTGATGAGCTGGGAGAACTGGGTGGCCTTCTTTCCCACCCCGGCTGCCCTGGGAGGCTGGCCTCTGGACAGCCTGGGGGCAGGTCCTGCTATGCCTCCCTTCCTTCCTCAGAGAGGCCTGGCCCCCCTCCAGCCTGCAGCTCTGCACACTCACCCTGCCCCCAGGGCCACACCTCACTGGGAGCCAAAGTCTGAGCACATTTCTCAGGCGTCTGGGCTGGCCAATGGGTCCCAACTGGGCTCTCTGCTACCCTCTGTGGCCAGCTGCTCATATCCTTTGTATGGGAGCATCAGCTTCCAGCCATCAGACAAAAGCCCAGGCAGGGCCTGGTGAAAGCCACACTGGGCCTTGCTTGCTGTGTGTCATCAGAAAATGTTCTCCCTGTCTGGGCTTCAGTTTCCATATCTGTATAATGGGCTTCCAGCATGTGCCCTGCCCCACCCCTCACCAAGCACAGACCAGAGGTAGGGAGATGATCTCTATTCAAACCCAGTTCTGCTCCTTACCAGCTGTGTGACCGTGGGCAAGTCCCTCCACTGCTCTGAGCCTCAGTTTCTTCATCTGTAAATTGGGAGTCCTAAAATCAACTTCACTGGTCTTTGTGGGGATTAAATGAACTCTTGTGTGTGGAGTGCCTGGCACGGATCACTCACTCAGTGCAGGTTCCCTTCCCTTGGGGCCGCTCTCCACCTCCTTACACCCTGATCTGGCCTCATCTTCCACTGTGCATCTCGGCTGCTGGCGCTTCTCCTCCCTTTGGCGATGCCCACGCCCTCCAGCCTCTAGGCCTTTGCTCACGGTTTGTTCTGCCAGGAATGCCTTTTCTCCTTCTCACATTCCTACCATTCCAAAGCATATTTCTTCATTGCTCGGCTCAAATGCTGCCTTCTCCAGGAAGGCTCTCCGAGGAGCTCTGTGCCAGCAGACAAAAACACTGATACGGGGCATCAGAAGGGGCATCTCTCTGCTCACATCTCTCTACCTTCTGCCAGGATCAGACTCAAACATGGACATTTTTCCTCCCCCACCTCGCAGTACACAAAAGTGCCCACTAGGTGGTGATAGAATGACGAAGTCCCCGTGGGGATGGGTGATAAGGGAGGCCAACAAGGCAACCCCTGCATCACTCGTTCCTTTATTTAAAGAGTATTGACTGAGCACCTGCACGGTGCCAGACTGTGGGGCAACCCAGCAGCAAGGCCGACTCTCAAGGAGCTTATGTTCTAGCTTGGGGAGGCTGCACTGGCGGGAGACACAAAAACAAGGAAATAAATAAAGCAGGAAAAACATGGGACAGAGATGAAGGTTACACAGAAAATGCTGGGGCCCAGGATTGCTTGAGGCCAGGAGTTCGAGACCAGCCTGGCCAACATGGTGAAACCCCATCTCTACAAAAAGTACAAAAATTAGCCAGGCGTGGTGGTGTGCACTGGTAGTCCCAGCTATTTGGGAGGCTGAGGTGGGAGAATCCCTTGAGACTGGGAGGCAGGGGTTGCAGTGAGCTGAGATTTCACCACAGTGCTCCAGCCTGGGTGACAGAGTGAGACCCCTGTCCAAAAAAAAAAGAAAAAAGAAAGAAAAAAAGAAAAAAAGGAAGGAAAGGAGGAAGGGAGGAAGGGAGGAAGGGAGGAAGGAAGGAAGGAAGGAAGGAAGGAAGGAAGGAAGGAAGGAAGGAAGGAAGGAAGGAAGGAAGGAAGGAAGGAAAATTCCGGGTCCCTGAGTGCGTCCAGCCTTCTGACTGAGCATTTTTTCAGTGCAGAGCCACACTTTGAACCTGAGAGACCGACTAAGCTGGATGATTCTCAAAGTGCGGTCTGTGGACCAGCAGCAGTAGCAACACTCAGGAACTCAAAGGAAATGCAGGTTCTCTGGCCTCTGCCGAGTGCACTGAATCAGAATCTGCATTTTAACAAGATCCCCAGGTAATTCCTTTTTAAGTTAAAGTGAGAAGCTCTGCCCAAGTCCAGAGGCTTAGGGACAAATGACACCCACAAGCCAAATCTGGCCACCTAGTTTTGTATGAATCCCACGCTAAGAATGGGTCCTGCTCAGAAAAAAAGAAAAAGAAGAAGAAAGAAAAATCTAGAGAATATTTTGTGATAAATAAAAGACATGCAAATTCAAATTTTAATGGCCATAAACAAAGTTTTATTGGAACCCGGCTGCACCCTTTGTTTATGTATTGTCTATGGCTGCTCTTGTGCCAGAATGGTGGCGTTAAGGAGTGGCAACAAAGACAGTGTGGGCCACAGTGTTAAAATATTGACTCCCCGGCCCTTTGAAGAAAACGTCCGCTAGTCCCTGCTCTAGTACATCTTCCTCACACTTATTAATGAAGAATCAGGGCTCCAGGGGGGAGGGGCAGTATCTTGTTCAAGGCATCATGGGAGCTCTGCTTTCTGTACACGCTCAGTATCCTGTTTCCACAGGCTCAGGCCTTAAGAGACTGAAAGCCCCTACTTTTTCTGTGTCTTGGGTTGGCCCAGGGTGGAAACCCAGGTTCCAGGCTGTGAGGAAGTCCAGGACACACAGAGAGGTCATGTGTAGGTGTTCAGGCCAACAGCACAGCCGGGGTCCCAGCTGACAGCCAGCTCAATGACCAGAGGTATGAGTGAGGAAGCCTTCCGATGACTCCAGGCCAACTCCTATCTGACTACAGCTACAACCACACAAAAGAGCCTGAACGAGAACCACTGGCTGAGCCCAGTCAACCCCGGAACCAGAAGAGATGATAATGCCATCTAGCCTTGAGACTTGTTTGGAGGGTGACGGGGCCAAGAATGACACCCACTGCCCCAGAGGCTGGGGGACTGGCAGGTGTGCCTTAGGGTTCGGGGGTGGAATTGAAGGTCATCCCGAGGAGGGTCCTTTTTGAGTGTGTTAAGGTGTCTGTGTCTGTGTGGACGAGCTGTCAGAATGGGCTGGGAGATGCGGTCAGGGACCACTCCCATTCCCAGGGCCTGGGTGTCCTGACCATCCATGCTAGGTCTGTTCCATGTTGGCCACGCTGTTCCAGGCAGGGGCCTGTGGTCACACAGACTGGTCTCTGAGCCCGGTCTGATGTGTGTACTCTCAGGAGCCTGGACGGGGCAGTCTCAGTCCAGAAATGACCTCTTCAATACTTGGTGTGGTTCCTATATGAAATGCCCAATATTATGAGCCACCCAGGCCTGGGTCAGCTGCTGACTGGCTGGAGGAAGTGCACGGGACCACGTGAGGCCACGGCAGCCCCAGGGTTTGCAGTCAGAGGGACCTGCGTCTGAATCCTGGCTCCCCCGCTTACAAGCTGTTTGACCTTGGTGAGGTCAGATCATCTTTCTAAGCTTCAGTTTCTTTAGCCACACAATGGGTATAACACTTACCCTTGAGGGTTATTGCGATTGTCAAACAAGGCAGCGTTTGCATGGGCTCTGGGCCTTGCTAGACATTCATCAGGCACTTAAGCTATGGGGGAGAGAAGTGAGGGGCTCAGGCTCTGGAGCCAGTGGGTTTAAACTCCACTCTACCACTAACAAGATGTTATTAAAAACTACTGTGTGCCTCAGTTTCCTCACCTGTAACATGGGGATAATAATAGTACCTGCCTCCTGGCTTGTGGAGAGGACATGCTATATATAGTGCTTACAACAGCACAACACACATATATGGGTACTTCACAAACACGAATCCATTCAAGGAAACCAACCCTGGGTGCCCTGGGATGGCCGTTGGTCAGAGACACAGAAGCTGAAGCCAGCTTAGGATAAGCGGAGGGGCCCAGGCCTGCCCTTGGCTCCGCTGACCTCACTTCTGTTCCAGGGCTGTTTAGTTACCTGCTCCTAGGCCTGGGAGGCCCAGTGGACCACAGAGTGACCTCTTCTTCACTGATCTGATCTGAATCCATTCTGCTCCGTGAGGGCCCAGATGAGGGAACTGGCATGATATTCACAGAGAGGCGACATCACCCGCTGAAGATCACACAGCAAGTCCCTGGGCCACCTGAATCCTGGCCATAGCTCCACCCTGCTACCCCCTCTCTTAAGTAACACATTAATAAGTGTCTTACCCTCAGACCATTATCTGTGCTGCCTGGCTAGGGAACATTTCTGAAACACATCAAACATTGACAAAAGGAGGTGTTTTTCTGTCCTCAGGCCAGGCCCTTTGGCCTCTGTTAACCAGTGAGTGTCCTCTGTTAATCCTGAGCCCAGCTCCTCCCACACACAAGGACAAACAAGGGCACTGGGCACGGGAGAAAGCTGTCCACCAGGGCCAGGAGGGGACGTGGAAGGTTAGTGGGTCCCCTCCCCCAAAGCAATGCACACAGCTGGGGCTCAATAAGTGCTACTGGGTGGTAGGAACGGAACCAGCTGAGGGCACAGGAAGAGGGATCTGCTAAGCAGAGGAGGCCTGACCTGGGCTTCATTGGGTAAAACCAGTCATCATAATAAGTAGCTGGCATTTTGGGAGCTCTTAGTAAGTTCCAGACACTTCCCTGAGCACTGGACATGGTCACTCACTAACGTTTCCATGTTTCACCATCAGTAGGGTGCGTATGTCGCTCTCCCCAGTCTACAAACAGGAAGCTGAAGGCAAGAGCGATGAAGTCATTTGCTTAAGTCACACTATTACCAAAGGCCGAGCTTGGATTCACACCCAGCATCCTGGCTCCAGACCCAAGCTCTCAACCACCATGCAAGCCTGTGGGAGTGGGAGGGGTGAAATGTACGAGTGAGGGGTGACTTCTAGGTATTGGCTTGGGGTGGTGTCTCTTTGATGGATATGCGGGAGGGGCGCAGGTGTCAGGTAGGGTACTGGGGAGAAGGTGGATGAATTGGGTTGGCAGGTGTTGAGTTCCAGATGCCTGGGGATGCTCAGGTGGAGGAGGCAGGAGAGAGGCGGCTTATGGCGCTGAGGCTGGTGGAGGGGGCTGGAGCTGCTCACTCCAGAGGCATCAGTGTAGAAATGCAGCCTGGGAGACACCTGAGCAATGAAGGGGCAAGGCCACAGCTAAGGCAGGGGAGTTGATATTTAGTGTGCAAGGACTCAAAATGACAGCAGGAAGTGTTTTGGAGACCATTATTATTATTATTATTGAGATAGAGTCTCACTCTGTTGCCCAGGCTGGAGTGCAGTGGTGCAATCATAGCTTATTGTAACCTTCGACTTCTGGGCTGTAGTGATCCTCCTGCCTCAGCCTCCTGGGACTCAGCCACCACAACCAGCCAATTTTTAGATTTTTCTGTAGGGACAGGGGTGTGGGGGGGCCTCCCTATATTGTCCATGCTAGTCTTGAACTCCTGACCTCAATTAGTCCTCCTGCCTTAGCCTCCCAAAGTGCTGGGATCACAGGAATCAGTCACCACATCTGGCCAAGTGCTATTTTTATTTATTTATTTAATTTCATTTCATTTATTTATTTTTGAGACAGAGGTTTGTTGTTGTTGTTGTTGTTTTTGAGATGGAGTCTCACTCTGTCACCCAGGCTGGAGTGAAGTGGTGTGATCTTGGCTCACTGCAACTTCCACCTCCTGGGTTCAAGCGATTCTCCTGCCTCAGCCTCCTGAGTAGTTTGGATTACAGGTACCTGCCACGCGCCCGGCTAATTTTTTTGTGTTTTTAATACAGATGGGGTTTCACCATGTTGGCCAGGCTGGTATCGAACTCCTAAGCTCAGGTGATCCACCCGCCTCAGCCTCCCAAAGTGCTGGGATTACAGGTATGAGCCACTGTGCCTGGCCAAGTGCTATTTTTAAATGAATGTTTTCTTTATTTTGAGAATAGATAATAAATGCACAATAAATTCACTCCCAAAGGGTGAAAATTGTGTCTCTTACTCTGTCCCCCTTCACCAGTTCTTCTCCCCAGAGACAGCCACTGTCCCCAGTTTCTTCTTTCTTCTTTCTTTTTATTTCTTTTTTCCTTTTTTTTTTTTTTTTTTTTTTTGTTAGAGACAGGGTCTCACTCTGTTGCCCAGGCTGGAGTGCAGTGGCACGATCACAGTTCACTGCAGCCCCAGCTTCCCAGGCTCAAGCAATCCTCCTACTTCAGTTTCCCAAGTAACAGGGACTACAGGTGCACACCACTACGCCTGGGTAATTAAAAACAATTTTTTTTTTTTTTTAGAGACAGGGTCTCGCTATGTTGCCCAGGCTTGTCTCAAACTCCTGGGCTTGAGCAATGCTCCTGACTCAGCCTCCCAAAGTGCTGGAATTACAAACCATGAGCTACTGTGCCCGGCCTGTTCCCAAAGAAACAAGAAAGATGTTTCTTGTACATCTTTCCAGGGATATTTAACACACAGGAATGGGTGATCAGGTGTCGTGGCTCACGCCTGTAATCCCAGAACTTTGGAAGTGGATTGCTTTGAGTCCAGGAGTTCGAGACCAGCCTAGTCAACATAGTGAAACCCTGTCTGTGCGAAAAATACAAAAAATTAGCTGGGTGTGGTGGCGCGTGCCTGTGGTCCCAGCTGCTCAGGAGGCTGAGGTGGGAGGATCACTGGAGCCCAGGAGGTGGAGGTTGCAGTGAGCCAAGTTCGCACCACTGCACTCCAGCCTAGATAGACTGAGACCCTGTCTCAAAAAAAAAAAAAAAAAAAAAAAAAAAAGGCATATACTTTCTCCTATAAATGGTAACATATGCACTTTGCATCACCCTGTTTTCTCACTGGACAGTACATCTTGGAGATCATTCCACACTGGTACGCACAGGGCTGCCTCACTCTTTTGATTGATGCAGAATATTTCACTGTAGGAATGAAGCATATGTAATGAACAGTCCCCTATGAATGGACCTTTAGGTTGTTTCCCATATTTTACTATTCCAACAATGCCACAATGAAGAGCCTTTGGCAGACAGCATTTTGCACATGTGTGAATACGTCTGTAAGGTAAATTCCTAAAAGCAAAATTTCTGGGTCAAAAAAGATGTGCAGTCTAAATTTTGATAGCTACTGCCAAACGTTCTTTATTGAAGTTGCTTGATTTATACTCCTACCAGCAACGTATGAAAGCACCTGTTTCCCCAATGTATTATTTTTTACATTGGTATCTTGCTGTAATTTTAATATGCAGTTCTTTTTTGAGTCAAGTTGAGCACTTTTCACTTTTTTTTTTTTTTTTTTTTTTTAGACAGAGTCTCGCTCTGTCACCCAGGCTGGAGTGTGCAGTGGTGGGATCTCGGTTCAGTGCAACCTCCATCTCCTGGACTCGAGGAATTTTCCTGCCTCAGCCTCCTGAGTAGCTGGAATTACAGGCATGTACCACCACGCCCGCCTAATTTTTGTATTTTCAGTATAGACAGAGTTTCACCATGTTGGCCAGGCTGGTCTCAAACTCCTGACCTCAAGTGATCTGCCTGCCTCGGCCTCCTAAAGTGTTGGCATTACAGGCATGAGCCATCGTGCCTGGCTATACATTTAAAAGCCATTTCCTTTTCTGTAAACTGTCCATTGGTATCCTTTGCATATTCAGATAAGCTGGGCATCTTTGTCTTAGGAACTATTTGTACAATAAGGAAATTAACCCCTTGTCTATAAAATGAGTTGCAAATATATGGTATTTTTCCCGGTTTGTTGTCTTATGATTTTGTTGTTATTACTTTTTTTTTTTAGATAAACATAAGCCTGTAGCACCTGGTATTTCCAGGCAGTCTCCCATACAAGCCCTAACCAGGCTTAGTTTCCAAGATTAGATGCATTCAGGATGGTACGGTTAATTTTTTAATGGAGAATTAGTTGTATTCTTACGGCTTCTGGGTTTCGCACACATAGTGTATCAGTTATTTATTGCTGCATAAAGAATTACTCCAAAATTGAACGGCTGAGAGCAACAGCAGTCAGTGCATTATCATCTTTTATGGTTCCGGGGTTGACTGGGCTCTGGGCTCAGCCAGTGATTATCCTAAAGGCTCTTTCGTGCGTTTGTAGCTGTAGTCACATAGGAGTTGGCCTGGAGTCATCGGAAGGCTTCCTCACTCATACCTCTGGTCATTGAGCTGGCTGTCAGCTGGGCCCCCGGCTGTGCTGTCGGCCTGAACACCTACACATGACCTCTCTGTGTGTCCTGGACTTCCTCACAGCCTGGAACCTGGGTTTCCACCCTGGGCCAACCCAAGAGACAGAAAAAGTAGGGGCTTTCAGTCTCTTAAGGCCTGAGCCTGTGGAAACAGGATACTGAGCGTGTACAGAAACTAGGGGTCCCATGAGGCCTTGGAGAAGATACTGCTCCCTCTCCCCCGGGGCCCTGATTCCCCAGTGGCACGAGGCGCACACCCCCCGCTCCCCCCCACACAAGGACACAGTGTAGGGTCACTGTGGCTGTCACTCCCCGAGCACGCGCAGTCACAGCCCAGCCGCAACCGCGCACTCCCGCAGGCGAAGCCACACCCCGCTGCGCACGTCGCGCGGCGTTTCTCCCGCCCACTCCAGCCTGGCCCAGCCCCGGCCCAGGTCCATTCCGGGGTCAGATTCCGTCCTGCCAGGTCTGAGTCGGCGGCTGCACGGCGGATGAGACCGGTGCTACTCATGAAGGTGTTCGTCACCCGCAGGATACCCCCCGAGGGCAGGGCCGCGCTCGCCCGGGCGGCAGAGTAAGAGCCCCGGGCCCCGTGGGGGAGGGGCGGGGCGCTCCCGGGGACCGGAGAGCCGGGCGGGGCGTTTGGGCCTTGTGGCTGGCTGGGGCGGGCTTGGAGTTTTGGGGAGGCTCGGAGAAAGTTCTCTGGGGCCCAGTTCTCTCCAGGACTCTTAAGACGACGCTGGGACCTGCAGTTCCGGCTTTGGAGAGGGGGAGATTGCCCCTGAGGCAAGGTCCAGGCTAATTCTCCACGCTCCCGCAGGGCACGTGGGGTCAGGGATGTGGCGGTCACTGACCTGGCCCCTCGGACGTTTGGCAGGGGCCTTTGATGACTCTTTTTCTTTATATTTACTTATCTTTATTTATTTTTTTGAGACAGTCACTCTGCTGCACAGGCTGGAGTGCAATGGCTTGATCGCTCGTGGCTCACTGCAGCCTCGACTTCTTGGGCCCAATTAGTTCTCCCACCTGAGCCTCCCGTGCAGCTGGGACTACAGGTGCAAACAATCACCACCGGCTAATTTTCTGATTTTTTTGTAGAGATGGGGGTCTCACTCTGTTGCTCCGGATGGTCTCAAATTCCTGGGCTCAAGCGATCCTCCTGCCTCAGCTTCCCAAAGTTTGGAATTACAGGTGTGAGTCACCATGACCGGCCTGAGGACCCTTTTAATTAATTTATTTATTTTTAAGACAGGGTCTCACTCTCATCCAGGCTAGAGTGCAGTGGCGCAATTATACCTCACTGCAGCCTCAACCTCCTGGACTCAAGCGATACTTCCACCTCAGCCTTCCAAGTAGCTGGGACTACTACAGGCATGCACCACCATGCCTGGCTAAGCAGAGATGAGGGTCTCACTGTGTTGCCCAGGCTGGTTTTCAACTCCTGTACGAAGGGATCCTCCCACCTCAGCCTCCCAAAGTTCTGGGATTACAGGCATGAATCACTGCACCTGGCCCACCCTTGCTAAATGGAACCCTTTTTGTGGGCCAACCTTACCAGGTGCTTCATATACATAAACTTTTAATCCTGGCAGCACTGTTAAAAACTAATTAAAAACTGGAGGCTGGTCTTAGGGTTAAGTTCCTTCCCAAAGCCACGCAGCTCCCAAGTGGAGGAACTCCTGGGAGTTCTGCATCTGACTGCTGTCTGATCACTGCATTTGATCAGATTTGTGTTTCCAATGTTAGATAGGAAGAGGATGCAACCCCGCCTCAGCAGGCAGTTCTAGGGGCAGATGAGATTTTCACATTTTGTTCACTGCAACAAAACCTTTGCCAAGGACCCACTTTGTAGAGCAGAAGGCGGAAGGCAGCAGCCGCGCTCGTGGTAACAGTAGCTCACACTGTATCCTGCTCATGGGGAGGTGGATGAAGTGGTCCGTGGCCCGGGCTCGGTCAGGAGGTGCGAGTAGCTATCCTGTGTCCTGCCGCATAGAGGCTCCACACGTGCTGGCTGTACTGAATTCCATGGTGCACCACTGGGACAAATATCCGGTTCCCGTGAGCTGCCGTGGAAGCGTTGGGTGGCCTTGACCTTATCTGTCCTGGCCCAGTCCAACTATGAGAGTTTTCTATTTCATGGACTCCACGGACAGGAAGAGATGCAACAGGCCATTGAATCCAGGCCCCCACCTGAGGCACACCCTGCCCCTCACGGGCCTTCCCTGCAGTTGGCTGCCTGCTTGGCCGCCCAGCCCTTGTGAGTGTGGGAAAGCTCTTCTCTGTGCTGACCTGAGAGCTGTCCCCATGCCTTCCCCTTGCAGCTTAGGCTCTGCTCGGGGGCCCTTTAGCCCTTCACCTGTCACCTGTTCTCTCGGGACAGTTCTGAGGCCACCCCTGCCTGACCCTGCCTCCCCTCAGCCAGCCCCGGGCAGCCTGAGGCCAGGGCCATCAGAGGCCAGGGTTCCCAGCTGGGAGGGGTGGGGACAGGTGTGCGGCTCCTGCTTCTCCTGAGGGCCTCCCTTTCCCCGCAGCTGTGAGGTGGAGCAGTGGGACTCGGATGAGCCCATCCCCGTCAAGGAGCTGGAGCGAGGTGTGGCGGGGGCCCATGGCCTGCTCTGCCTCCTCTCTGACCGTGTGGACAAGAGGATCCTGGATGCCGCAGGTGCGCGCTGGGTGGGCAGGGGACTCGAGGGTGGCTTGGCCCTGTGGGCCCCTCAGCCTGCGCCGCTGGCTCCTGGGCTGCTCTGCAGTGCTGTCTGGGTTCTGAGGGCGGTTCCTGCGATACCAGGCCTAAGCGGGCAGATAGCTTGCTCTGGCACAGGCCCTGCCCCTCCCTCCTGCTGTGAACCCCTTGGCGGGGGGCCCTGGGAAGGCAAAGACCGTGGTGTGGAGACTGTGGGTGTGGGGAAGAGCATCCAAGGCCCTGGGTTCTCCAGCCCTGCCACAACCTTGCTCTGTGACCTCCGGCAAGACCCTGGCCATTCTGGGCCTGTGCGTCGTGTGAGGGAGGACCCAGCTCAGCGCCGAGCTCCAGCGGGATGTCCTCCCGCAGCCGCAGCCATGGCTCTCAGCCCGCGGAAGGATCAGCCTCCCCCTGCGAGGCTGTTGTGACAGTTTTGAGAAAAGGTTCAGACTTGGGCTGCCAGATGGGAAGGGACCCTTGTGAGTCAGTGCTGAGTCACCCCGTGCCCTGGCCTTGGCCTGGAAGCTTTCTGGTGTCCTGCTTGCAGGAGGGGGTAGAGAGGGTCGCGTCCCAGCCACCACCTTGGCACTCTCAGAGGTGTCCATGGGGGAGGCCCCAGCATGGCTGAAGGAGACCCGAGGCCTCACTGGGTGGACAGCCAGTGGGGAAGAGCGGGGCCTTGGTGGCAGAGGCCCTGAGGTGAACCCAGCTCTGCCTGTGACTGAGCCAGGCCACTTCACCTCCCTGAGATGCAGTGTCTGAGGCTGTCAAAGGGGATTATTCAGAGTTTTAAGTGAAGAACAGAGATGTCAGCCTCTTATTCTAAGAAAACAATAATAAGCGGTGTCCCCATGATAGTCCCCAGTGCTGTGGCTTTGAGTTCCTCGAGGAAAGATACTAACAAAGCACTTTCTGCACAACAGGGGCCAATCTCAAAGTTATCAGCACCCTGTCCGTGGGCGTGGACCACTTGGCTTTGGATGAAATCAAGAAGCGGTAACTGTAGCTTGGGATCTGGAGGGGGCCTAGCGAGAGGGGTGGGTATGAGAGAAAGAAAGAGGAGCTGTTGATTTGTTTTTACTTCATATCCCTCGGCCGTTCAGGGAGAATGTGGGTGGCTGATGATAGAATCTGTCCACATGTGCACAGGTCAGTTACAATAAACCCCAGCGGTCAGAAACAGTGGGTAACTTCTGTGTAGGTGGCACCCTTTCACATTCATTATCTTTTTTGATCCCCACAACAATACCTTGAAGTAGCGAAGGCAGGTATTCTTTCTCTTTCAGATGAGGAAATTCAGAAAGGTTAAGTTACTTGTTCAGTCCTTGAACCCTAATCTTCCATCTTCATATCCTTCCAAAGTGGGAGACAATCTAAATAGGAATGAGGACTGACCGTTTTTGAGTGCTCATTTATAGTTCTGAGCTTCCTGGCAGGCAGATCAAAGAGGGAACAAAGTAACTCCATGGAAATATCCCAGCAGTAGACATCAGTAAAGGTGGTTGAGGCTGATGTTACCACCACATGTTTGATTCGTAGTGGGATCCGAGTTGGCTACACCCCAGATGTCCTGACAGATGCCACCGCGGAACTTGCAGTCTCCCTGCTACTTACCACCTGCCGCCGGTTGCCGGAGGCCATCGAGGAAGTGAAGAAGTGAGTGAACGCAGGCCAGGTGCGGTGGCTTACGCCTGTAATTCTAGCACTTTGGGAGGCTGAGGTGGGCGGATCATGAGGTTAGGAATTCGAGACCAGTCTGGCCAACACAGTGAAACCCCGTCTCTAGTAAAAATACAAAAAAAAATTAGCCAGGTGTGGTGGCGGGCCCCTGTAATCCCAGCTACTTGGGAGGCTGAGGCAGGAGAATCATGTGAACCCAGGAGACAGAGGTTGCAGTGAGCTGAGATCACGCCATTGCACTCCAGCCTGGGTGACGGTGTGAGACTCCGTCTCAAAAAAAAAAAAAAAAAGTGAACGCCTGGCAGAAACATTGGCTCTGCTCGGTCCCTGACCCCAGGTGTGCCCCATTGAGTGAGGACTCAGCTAAAATAATTAAAGCACGAGGCAGAGCTGCAATAAAGGCAGGAAGGGAAGTGGTGAGAGAAGAGGATGAGGGAGGACAAACAAGTTCTGCTGGTGGGTGAGGGCTAGCCGGGAGAGTGTGGATCAGGGAGGGCTTCACAGAATAAGTAGCAGGTGGGCGTCTGCTTGAGTCCTGAAGGCTGCAGGTCCACGGTCCCTTAGATGCCAAAAATCTAAAAACGTTGGACAGCTGAAAGTTCTTTCATACTAACAGGAGACTATTTAAGGCTTTTATTTCTCCCACTTAATGTGACTTTCCTAAGTTTTGCTGCAGACATAACACCGTTTAAAACAGGGTGCTGCCCAGACACTGCAGAGGGTGATGTGTGGAATCTACCACCTGCGCCATGCTGCCATTTTAAAGGCCAATTTTAAAATCTAGCCTGAAGGTTTCAGATCAGGGATTTCGGCCTGTATATCAAGAGTTAGAGTGGGCCGGGTACGGTGGCTCACACCTGTAATCCCAGCACTTTGGGAGGCCGAGGCGGGCAGATTGAGCCTCAAGAGTTAGAGAACAGCCTGGGCAACATGGCAAAACCCTGTCTCTACGAAAAATACAAAAATTAGGCAGGTGTGGTGTTACACGCTGTAGTCCCAACTACTCACTCGGGAGGCTGAGGAGGGAGGGTTGCTTGAACCCGGGAGGCAGAGGCTGCAGTGAACTGGGATCATATCACTGTACTCCAACCTGGGTGAGTGACAGAGCAAGACCCTTTCTCAAAAAAAAAAAGCTGGGGGAAGCATTCCATGTGCAGATGGAGGGACTGGCCTGAGTCACGGTGGGAGGTGTGCAAACGCAGGCTGTCACAGTGTGTGACCAGCAGCGTGGGCTCCAGCACGGGGCGTGGAGCAGAGTAGACAGTGCTGAGTCCTGCTCTCTGTCCTGTCTGGGGAGTCAGCATGTCTATGGGAGGTGGCTCAGGGCAGGCTCCGTCTCTTGCCCAGGGCAGCAGCGTGGGCCCTGTGGCTGTACTCTTTGTTGCTGCCCTAAAGTGCCAAGAGAACTTGTTTTGGAATTGTAAATCCTGAGTTTGCAGCCTGTTGCTCTCAGCTCTCTCCGGTTGTGTGACCTCAGGTAGGTCACCCTGTCTGGTTTGTTTTCCCATCTGCAAAACAGGATGAGAGCCAGTAAGGCCCCTTCCCACCCTCAAGTTCTGTGTCCCTAGTGGCTTTAAAGGAGGAGTCGTTGCTGCTGCTTGTCTGCAGCGCTGAGGGGCGGTGCCTCATCCCACTCTCAGTCCCTGACCTGGAGGATGGGTTTGTACCTTGGACCACAGTCAGAGGTGCTGGGTTCTCAGCGGCCCCTCATCTTGGCCCAAGGCTGGGCTTCTCACCTGCCACTCTCTCTCCCCTAGTGGTGGCTGGACCTCGTGGAAGCCCCTCTGGCTGTGTGGCTATGGACTCACGCAGAGCACTGTCGGCATCGTCGGGCTGGGGCGCATAGGTGAGGCCCCCACCTGCCCACTTGCCCGCCCCGGCTCTCACAGCTGTGGTTTGCATCCCTGGCACCACGTTTCTGAAGGCTGAGAAGACCCACATGCTGTCAGGGCACTTTGCCTGCAGTAGAGGTATCTCTAGTGAGGGTTACAGTTTTGTAAAACACAGGCAAATACATAAATAAACCAAAGCAGGAGTTCCTTAAGAACTCACTAGGTGATAAAAGCAAGTTGCCTGAGGGTCAGGGGGCTTCATGATTCCAGCTCCGTAAAGAACAGATGAAGACTACAAATGCTGTGTTGGGGCCCTTAGGAGTGGTTACTGTGAGAGAGCCCATTCCCCCGACACCTACTCCAGCTTTGGTTCTGGAAGGTTTGTGATTCACGAAGCCCTAACTCGGGCCAGAGGGCTCGGTGGGCAGAGTTGATCTGCAGTTCTGCAGATGAGGCAGAGCCACTTTTCTTCCAGTGGCCGTTATTTGGAGAAGCCTGGCAGAAGCGCTTGGGCCTAGCCAAGCAGCTAGCTATCGGGATTCTCTGTCATCCTGCCTGGTGCAGGGGTGCGGGTGAGGGTGGAGAGTGTGGAGAAACTGTCTAACCAGCAAACAGCCCTGCCTCCCACTAGAGAGTTGCTTGGAGGAACCCAACAGCTTTGGGGCACGTTCTGAGCCTGAAAATCCAACTGCACAAATCTGCCTCAGCAGCAGCGTAATGAAAAGTGTCGGTCTGGGGTGAGCTGGCAGTTTGGCAGTGCCACCAAAAGTCAAATGGAGTCTGAGACGGCATTCACAGAAGCAGAGGGTCCAGGATGAAGGAGGGGACTGCTTGACCAGGCGTCTCCTTTGTGAAAACTCTCTCCAGTTCTCAGAGGTTAGGAAAAACCTGAGTGGCTTTCCAGATGGCTTGGACCATGTGAGGACAGCATCAGCCAGTGACAGCCTCAGGGGAGCTGAGGTGCTGTCTCCAGATCCCTGGGGCAGTGCGGGCTGGCCGGGGGCTGGTTACGGCGGGGCAGCCAGCCCCCCACCCACTTTGGGGGAGACAGGAGCAGGCAGCTCTGGGGCTGTGCTGATGAAAGGGTCTGCCCTGAGGGCCGCTGTCCCGGAGCTGCTGGGTGGCGCCCCTGCCCTCTGCGGGACTGGGAACGAGACGCGGACTCTCCTTGCTCTAGGCCAGGCCATTGCTCGGCGTCTGAAACCATTTGGTGTCCAGAGATTTCTATACACAGGGCGCCAGCCCAGGCCTGAGGAAGCAGCGGAATTCCAGGCAGAGTTTGGTAAGTGAAGCTTGATTTCCACAGGAGCCTATCTGTGCCCAGTTGAGAGGCAGTATTTTCTCTCAATGGTGGCATTTTCAGGCAGAGGGCAGGAGCTCCAGTCATGTCCAGGGGCTGCTGTGTCTGGTAGATGTTTAATCTCCCTGCCCCTGGACACAGGCCCACTCAAGGGGCACAGGGACTTACCCAGGTCCTCTCCGTGCCAGCAGAGCAGTCCAGGGCTCCCGTCTTTCAGCGTCCTGTGTTGCCATCCCCGTTGTGGGCGGAGCAGCGGGGATGGTGATGGGTGTGAGGAAGGGCTGGGCACTTGCACTCGCTTTTCCTTCATCAACTGGCAAGCACTGCCCTAGCCTCTGTGCGCTTTAGTCCAGGCGGATCCAGCCCCTGGCGGGTCCACAGCCTGGTGAGCAGAAGGCAGGCTGGATCTCAAGCATTCCCCACGCCCCTGGACACTTTGGGCCCTGAAGGTGATTAAAGCCAGAGTGGTCCAGGTCCCACTGTGTGTGATTTGACTTTGTACACTCATGAGAGTTGTCCAGGTAGAGACTCGGCCTTCAGGAAGCATCTTGGGAGTCTCTGTTATGGGAGTCGGGAGCAAGGGGCTGGTTTCCCACCATCTGGTTGTCCCTAGCCTGGGACTCAGTGCCTGATGGAGTCCTGCCCTCCCTCAGTGTCTACCCCTGAGCTGGCTGCCCAGTCTGATTTCATCGTTGTGGCCTGCTCCTTAACGCCTGCAACCAAGGGACTCTGCAACAAGGACTTCTTCCAGAAGATGAAGGAAACAGCTGTGTTCGTCAACATCAGCAGGTATCCTAGGGCCACCTTACCCAGCAAGCCTGGAGAGGAGCCGTCCCCACTGCTGCCATCTGGAGATTTTCTTCCCCGTGGGTTGTTAAGACCCCAGGCTGAGCTTGCTGGTTTCCATAAACCAACCAACCCACTCAGAAATTCGTGGGAATACACGAGAGCTCCACACAGGGAAGAAGAGCCGTCGGAGTGGGCCTAGCCTGCCTGCTTCTCAGCAGTGGCCCCTGCCTGGCAGGGCCTGGCACACAACAGGGTGGCTTCAGGGAGTGTTCCCAGGGAGCCTTGGCAGGCCCATTGTCCTCAACCACAAAGGGCTGGACTTCAGGATCTGAAGGGCCCTCTGGAGGCCGCCTCCCACACTGCTGAGCCTGGCTTTGGCTGGCTGTGGTTCAGTGATATTTTGAATCTTACCCCCCTGGGCAGACAGACCCTAAAACTCACGTGGTTGTAGTTCCTCACACTGTCCCGAGGGCTGCCGTCAGGCCATTGAGCATGTATGGGGGTCAGACCTTCCTTCTCTGCCACTCCAAGGCCTTCCTAGCTGGTCCCCCTTGAGCCTGTTTACGTAAGTTTAGGGGAAGGGGGATTGGGTGAGGTCACCCTGAGGACTTATCCACCCCAAAGGTACCTGTAATTACCAATGTTTAGCCACAAAACAGGTAACCTGGGAATGGAAGAGTGAAACATGCAGGACCACAGGACTCGCACTGCTGGCTGGCACCAGTCATAGCTGCCGTGTACCGGGTGCCTGCGTGTACCCAGGACAGCCCAGGACCCTGTATTACTTAGTGCACAATATACAGTCTCTAGAAGATCAGTTCTTGACTTCAGTGGCTGCTGCCTTTGATGGATGTGGTTAGGGGTGTGCTCATTCCTCTGCTCTGGTTTAGGCAGGTGCCTGATAGCACACTGTGGTGCTTCTCAGTGGGGGTCTGGGGGCCAACCGGATCAGAAACACTTGGATGGGGCCTAACAGATGCCCTTCTGGGCCCTGTTCATGCAGTAGAGCATGTAAGAAAGCTTTAATCCTCCCAACATGCCTGGGAGTTAGGTGGTATTCTCCTTATGTCACAGAGCAGATAATTTGAGACACAGATAATTCGAGGCACGGAGAATTTGAGAAACTTGCCCAAGGTCACACAGCTAGGAGGAGGCAGGGCTGGAGTTCTCTGAGTATATAAGACTGATAGACATACTGTAAGTATACCTAAGACTTAGTGCTTTAAAAGTCAGTGCCAAGTGTCAGGTGAGTGGAAAAATTCATTCTGTAGGTGGTTCTGCCTCAAAGGTGGCCTGGGCGGAGGGATCTTCATGGTACCCACGTCACCACTGTCATTCCCAGGGGCGACGTTGTAAACCAGGACGACCTGTACCAGGCCTTGGCCAGTGGTCAGATCGCAGCTGCTGGACTGGATGTGACGACCCCAGAACCACTGCCTACAAACCACCCTCTTCTGACCCTGAAGAACTGTGGTAAGAACTGCATTTTCTGACGCAAACTCCCTGCTGCCCTGCAGGACCAGTGTTTTCGAGGGGGTCCTGAGGGGCCGGGTGTGGAGCTAGTGTGAGCAAGTGCTGAACCCAAAGGGACACACCAGGGACTTTAAATGTTTACACTGTTAGTGACATGGGTGTATGACAGGAGCCGTCCTCTTGAGCATGTTCTGCTGGGTCTCTGTCCCTAAAGGAACAGAGTGTAGGTGTGAGAGGATTTGTTTTAGGGAAAAAAAAAAAAAAGAGTGGGCCGGGTGTGGTGGCTCACACCTGTAATCCCAGCACTTTGGGAGGCTGAAGTGGGCGGATCATGAGGTCAGGAGTTCAAGACCAGCCTGGCCAATATAGTGAAACCCCATCTCTACTAAAAATACAAAAATTAGCCGGGTATGGTAGTGTGTGCCTGTAGTCCCAGCTGTTTGGGAGGCTGAAGCAGAAGAATCGCTTGAACCTGGGAGGTGGAGGTTGCAGTGAGCCGAGATTGTGCCACTGCACTCCAGCCTGGGCAACAGAGTGAGACTCCATTTCAAAAACAACAAAGTGGGCTGACTACATGTCTACATGTGTTATACCACAGTGACTCGTGTAAAACCTGTTACTCTAAATTGCTATTACCAGTTTAGGTGTGAAAAATTAAAAGTGTAATGACAATGCCAATATTTATAACTCGGCCAGTTTTTCAAGCTGTTGTTTCACAACAAAGCCCCCTTCTCTCTTCTGCTTTGTGGGGCTGGGGCCAGGCCTCTGCACACCCCATTTCTGCTGTGCCAGCTGCACTGGAGGCCCTCTGGGTGTGGGTGTGGGAGGGCCTGCTTCCTCCTGCCCTCCCTTCCTGTCTTTGGGGGAGTGGCAGCAGCACTTCTTAACCTCACAGTACCAGTTTGCTCCCCATAGTGGCTGGGGAATCCAGTTTGCAGTTTTTCCAACACTTGGTGAACCAGCCGCACTGAGCCCCGCTCAGAGATAAAAGCAACAGCCAGTCAGTGCCCCTGCCACAGAAGTCTGAGTTGCACCACCAGAAGTGCCTCCGGCAGTTGCTACCTCTGTGCTACCATAGTGCAATGGTTCTCATACTTTTTTTTTTGGTTTTTTTTTTGAGACAGAGTCTCGCTCTGTCGCCCAGGCTGGAGTGCAGTGGTGCCATCTGAACTCACTGCAACCCCCGCCTCCTGGGTTCAAGCAATTCTCCTACCTCAGCTTCCCAAGTAGCTGGGATTACAGGCGTGCACCACCAGGCCCAGCCAATTTTTGTATTAGAGATGGGGTTTGTCCATGTTGGCCAGGCTGGTCTCAAACTCCTGACGTCAGCTGATTCACCTGCCTTGGCCTCCCGAAGTGCTGGGATTACAGGCATGAGCGCCCGGCAGCTCCCGGCCAATTCTCACACTTTTATGTTCGTCAGAATCACCTGGCGGAGTGACTGATCACACACAGGTTGCTAGCCCCATCCCGAGGGTTTCTATTTCAGCAGGTCTGGGGTGGGGTCTGAGAGAGGGTGCTCCTCACTGCTCCCAGATGCCACTCAGGCTGCTGGTCCTGGGACCACACTTTGTGGTTTGGATTTTTGTCACCTGCTCAGTTAGCGAGTTAACAACTTTATGCGTAATGATTCTTTTATATTAAGATCTGCTCAGGTAGCTGGTGGAGTTTATGCCTCCAGACTAACAGAGTGATCAGGGCCTTAGGTTGTCTGGGCCAGTCTCTGTCTTTAATTTGCATTCTGGAATGGACACCTAAACAAAAGGTCTTTAGCTGCTTTCCCCAGTGAATGCTCCCATTATCGCAGCCCTTGGAAACGCTCCTGTCCCTCCCCCCACCCCAGCCTGCAAGGAGCACTGGGTGTGATGTCAGGGCTGTCGCCCACAGCCAGGAAAACTGCCTTCCCACCCCTACCCCAGGTCCTGGAATTCAGCTCAGGGCCCCTGGACTGCTTCAGAAGACAGTTCTTGGTCTGAGGAGAGGGCGGTCAGGGCATGAAGCTGCAGTCGCCACTGCTGTTTCTGCAAAATCTAAGCACTGGGCTGCAGCCATGTCCTACTGCCGGCAGGAAGGGAAAGATCCAATCATATTTGTGATGAAAAAAGACCTTGCAGCTCCAAGCAACGCAGCTGATGACCCCAGTGATCCCTATGAGGGGAGCACGGATTGAGGCTGCTAAATGGAGACATTAACTGGAACTGCCTGTGCCTTGGGGGAACAGCCAGCGGCCCCTGTGGGAAACAATTCAAACTGGACTTTTCCTGCTCCCACTATAGTATGGAGAATGTCAAGGGGTCAGGCTGTGTAGACCAGTTGTGGGGCCATGCAGGAATGCATGCAGAAATACCCAGATCTTTGTCCCCAAGAAGGTGAGGAAGAGGTAGAGGAAAAGCCCGCAGAACATGTAGAAGCAGCAGCTCCCACTGAGGCCACTGCAACCAAAGAGGAGGGGTCAAGTTAATGAAGGCCATAGGACTCAGTCCTTCCACCCCTTCAGAGTGACACGGACCTTTCGCAAAATGCCATTTAGTCACCCCAACAAAGTGTTTTTTCCTCTGTTGTCCTGTAAACTGTAACGTACAAAATAATGTATTTTGATGATCAGGGGGCTTGGCCTCTTGACATATACACTGAACAAAATGGGGGTTGTTTATATGTGTCCTGTGTAAACCTGTCGGCAAATGTAGCCACCACTTTTGAATTCTCCTAGATGGCCCTTAATTTTGCCACTTTGAAATAATGTGCTACTCAATCTCAGCAACCAAAAACCATTATCTGGGAATGTTTCTTATGAGTGAGCAGATTTATTCTGATTCATTGTATGTCTAAAATGTTGGGATGGGGCTGGTTAGGGTGGCTCATGCCTGTAATCCCAGCACTTTAGGAGGCCAAGGCAGGAGGATCACTTGAGACCAAGAGTTCGAATCTAGCCTGGGCAACATAGTGAGACCCCATCCCTATAAAAAATTAAAAATTAGCCATGTGTGGTGGTATGCACCTCTAGTTCTAGCTGCTCAGGAGGCTGAGGTGGGAGAATCGCTTGAGCCTAGGAGGTTGAGGCTGTAGTAAGCTGATTGTGCCATGACACTCCAGCCTGGGCAACAAAGCAAGACTCTGTCTCAAAAATTCTTCTCTACTAGAAGAGGCCAAATGGTCAGATGCAAATTTCTCCAAACCCATCCTGACCTTGAGTATGTATATGGGTTACTATACTTCATTCCTGACATATTTTGGTTTCCATGTTGGCATTGAGCTCCCGGTTTTCTATTTGGATGGTGAAAATTTGGACCCTGTCATTCACGGTCCCTTCCTAAGTGTAGGGAAAGGCTGGTTTTTGCTATTCTTTGTTATTCTGAAAGCTCTGGTTTGGGGTCTGTGTTCATGCTGGCTCTCAGTTTGATCAGATGCAATGTTCTTGAGAGGTGGGGATCTAATTACCAGAGAGGAGAGGAAACTGTGAATTAAGTACTCAATTATGGCTGGGCGTGGTGGTTCACACCTGTAATCTCAGCCCTTTGGGAGGCCGAGACAGAATCAGTTGAAGCCAGGAGTTCAAGACTCGCCTGGGCAACAAAGACCCCATTACAATGATGATGAATTTAAAGAAGAAAATGTACTCAATTAAAAGGAAACATGACTTCTACCTGGAAAAAACCCAAAAGCAGTTTTGTGGGGTTTATTTGGTAAAAGATGGCGTATCGCTGTGTGGCCCAGGCTGGCCTCAAACTCTTGGGCTCAAGTGACCCTTGCACCTCAGCCTCTGGAGTAGTTGGGACTACAGGAATATGCCACTGCACCCGGCTGACAGTTCTTTGGAGGCAAGTAACTTCACTTGCTCTGGGGTGGCACAGAGATAACTGTGCTGTTCAGCATTTCATTTTGGAGTTATATTCAGAAACCTTGTGGTCATGTGGCATCATTTTCAGGTGCACATGGTACAGGTGCACAAATTGGCACCCAGGTTCACCTTTTTTTGTTTTGAGACAGAGTATCCCTCTGTCATCCAGGCTAGAGTGCAATGGTACGATCTCAGCTTACTGCAACTTTTGCTTCCAAGGCTCAAACAATCCTCCTGCCTCAGCCTCCCAAGCAGCTGGGTCTATAGGTGTGGGCCACTACACCTGGCTAAATATTTGTATTTTTTGTAGAAATGGGGCTTCGCCATGTTGCCCAGGCTGGTTGAACTCCTGAGCTCAAGTGATCTGCCTGCCTTGGCTTCCCAAAGTGCTGGAATTACAGGCATGAGCCACTGCACCTAGCCCTAGAATACAAGTATTTCATCACATTGTGACTGGGTTTTAGTAGCCTGGAGGCCCTTCACTCTATTAGTCTGAACCTCAGCTCTGGGGGAGTGTCATGCTTAGTGACCAAGGGAGAAAAGGCAAGGCATGGAACCATGAGGTAGTCTCTATTCTTCTTACTGGCAAACCCAAGCCATGAAAACAGCCCAGTTGAAGGCTGCTGAACCACCCTTCTTATCTTCCTCTCTCTCTCTTCTTTCCAGTGATCCTGCCCCACATTGGCAGTGCCACCCACAGAACTCGCAACACCATGTCCATGTTGGCAGCTAACAACCTGTTGGCTGGCCTGAGAGGGGAGCCGATGCCCAGTGAACTCATGCTGTAGTCACACAGTAGAGATGGAGGGCCGGGAGGCAAACCGTACCCAGGCTTGATGTGGATCCACAGGCAGAGCCAAGGGAAAGTCTTATTCTCTGAGGAAAGAGTGATTCTGATAGATGTACTTGTCACATTGGTGGCTGGACACACTTGAGCCAAAAGTGTGTAATTCTATCATTAAATAATTATCTGAGAGACCGTCTTGGCCTGTAAATGGGGAAGCTAACAAGTGTGTATGGCTGGGCATGGTGATGCACCTCTATAGTCCCAGCAACTCAGCAAGCTGAGTGGGAAGGATCTTGAGGCCAGTTCAAGGCTGCAGTGTGCTATGATCACTCTTTAAATCGCCACTACACTTAGCCTGGGCAATGTAGCAAGGACCTGTTTCTAAAAAAATTTTAAAAATATAAAGAGCATCTGTTTGAAAGTCACAGCATCTAATGATCTGCCTGGCTCTGCTTCCCACCCCAGCCCTCAGCCCTGGGCATTTTCCTTATTGGAACCTGTCCAAACCACCTTACGCCTCATCTTCTCTGCCCAGATTCCTTCACTTGTCCCTCACCAAGGACGGGACAAGCAGAACCCAGTTGTGACCATGGCACTTGAATCTGATACCTAGACCATCAGGAAAATTAAAGAGCCCTTCCAGAAAAGGAGTTAACTGGAAGAAATGAGAACTAGGTAAGGACGTTTAACACTCTTATTTTGGTCAAGAACAATTAGCGGTAGGTGGATTTAATTTTAAAATCAGTTTCAGCACCTACACATGGTTCCCTTTGCCCACCCTGTCCCCCCAGCCCCTCCCTGCCCCCAGGTGGATGGCTTTTTTTTTAAAATCACCACCTTACCCACTCCTCTCCAAGGTCAGGCCACAGCACTGCCATTGCCAAAGCCCTGCTCTGTGCTCAAGGAATCAGCTTCCAGTACTGGCAGATGGAGTTTCCAACTTGAGAGGCAGGTCCAGGGAGCAGCACAAGATTAGGTAGGCCCTTGGAGAGCAACTGGGTAGACTGAAAGCAAAATCTCATGCATGTGCATAGCTCAAAGACAGAAAAGGAAGGCGGGGGAAGGCAGAAGGGAATGATTTGAGGGGAATGACCAGTTAACTTACTAGGTTTGGTTTAAAACAAAGTACTAGTCAAGGGGTGGCAAAAAGATATTACCCTCTTTTGTTTCAACCTTAATAACCTAAAGAAAAATAACACATATTTAGAGGCATGAATATGACAAATTTTTTATTTCAAAATCTCAAGTTGTAACCAGCATAGCACCACTGACATGGATGCCTTGATAGAACTCTATGATCTGATCACCAGAAAAGATTCTACATGATCACGCCAGACTATAATTAAGGCTAACCAATCAAAATTCAGGTACCCAATACCAGTTATAATCCAGGTAGAAACTACAGATCATAGGAACCCTGGGACTGGCTTTCCAGGGAACCCTGGAATTATTTTTTAAGTGCTACAGCATGTACAAGGACACTGGCCCACAAGCTTGCTTCTCACACGTAGAAACTGACCGACTAAGAGGTAGATGAGAGATTCCAGGTTCCATCTAGCAGTGGAGAGGCAGGGCTCCAGCATGTATCAGAGAGAAGCCCCAAAAGCAAAGTCCACTTATGCTTCAGCAGAGGTGAGCGGGCAGGCTCCTGGCACCACCTCCTCCACAGGGAAGGGAAAGAGGGCTGCACCGCTCTCCCTGTGTCACTGGCTCCTCTCCCTGGGTCCAGGTGGGGCCTCTTGTTTTCTCCAGGCTAACCCACTGTGTCCCAAGGTTAATCTCACAAGACACTGGTCCCTACATCACGTAAAGGGTGGATGGGGGAGCCTCCTAATACTATGTCAACATGACTGCTAACAAGGAGCCACACACACAACTGAATTTCACAGGACCCCATATCCTCCAACGGGCTCTTTCCCACGTCTACTCGAAAGGAATCGCGGGTTTCCCTTTGGGCTTTTCTTCCTGGGAATCAGTCCATGGGAGATGCCAAGCCCTGCTGGAACATGAAATTATCCACGGATGTGTAACTGCATACTCTAACAGGAGAGAAAACACGCTTATTTTTGTTTCCAGCTACACAGACTTAGCTTTCTAAACACAAAAACTGAATAATTTATCTGAATTATGCATGATGGTTTGGTATCTCTAAGAAAGCATATAAAACATAAACTCATGTTCGTGCATAAATTAAACTGACTTCATGAGTCCTAGGGAGATGCATTAACCTGTGCTGTTCCCCTGGACGCACACCTGGCCTCACACAGGTGCCACTAACAGCCCCGATGGCACAGTGCCAGAGGACAGCAAGGTGAGGCTGGGGAAGTGAGGCTGCAGGGCCCAGAGAGGACCTGGGCAGTGACCCGAGTGCCTCCAACAGTCTCAGATGCTACTTGATTACTTCTATGCTATGGGCTGTCAACTCTTAAACAGGCTAGAAAATATTTACCCATGCACTACCATGTTTGGATTTCAAACAATTTTAAACATTTGGTATCAGATTGGGGAAGCAACAAATAATAAAATTAGGGTCTGTACTGTTAAAGTATAGTATGTAACAGTAATAAAACCCGTGTGGGGGCATTTTTGGTTAATTTGTCATCGAAAACAGTAAACCTGGGAGAGCTGCTATATGGGGAGGGAAGAGTGAAGAAATGGAGAACAGGCTTGTCCTGGGGTAGGATGTGTCAGCTTAGACTGGCCCTCAGCATCTGGATGGAGCAATGGGTAAAGGTGCCATGGAAGACCCCACAAAACGACTCCACGTCATCAGAACAAAGACAAACACAAGCTCTTTTCTGACTTCCTAACATAGAACTGTAACATCTGTAATACAAGTTGGTTAAAATACTGCTCAAACAGCACATACGGAAACAATACCTTGTCACTCTCTACAAGTACATACTCCATTTACAATTTGGTTTTTAAACCAGAAAAAACTGTTAAAACATCTATCCAACAGTGATGTATTCAAAAGTATATACACCTAATAGTCCAAGAGAATGCTCACTCTGGACCCAGTGTCAGCACCAAAGTGCAGTGTGTGTGACTGCAAATCAGGTAAAAATAAAAAATACAGTACTTTCTGAGGCCTAGGACTAGCTCAGGATACACTTTAAAGCATTTGTGGCAGACAGGCGTGTCCTCAAAGGCCTTCCTTTAAGACAGGCACCAAATCACCACTGGTTACACATAAGTGCATTTTGCATCACTGTACAGGGATATAATATTCCCATCAGAAGGTATAGGAAATTTAAATGCTACACAGTTTTACAAAAATTGCTAGAAAATTTTTTTTGCACTTCAACTTTAAAATTTTTAAATGTGCCACTCTCAACATCAATTACAAACTACTTTCTGACTGCATTACCCAACCCTAAGGAAGAACCTGGTTTCAGGGATTGCATCCCTTTCCCAAGACGTGCACTTGATTCAGAAATGCAGCAGCACAACTACTACATGTTAGTTCTCTGGTTATTAGTTGCTAAACTGTTTAAGAGCCACTGGGCAGCTAGAAGCCTCGAACCCAAAGGCATTAACTGCTTACCAAAAGAAATTCAGTCCGACAACTGGCCTCAGCGTTGTCTTGAAAGGACAAACAGCTAGAGCAAAGTGCTGGGAAGATTGCTGCTCTGCCAGCGCAGGCAGGTAGTCTTTGAGTGCTTATACAGGTGGCTGGACTGACTAAACCTCTTGCCACACTTCAGGCAGGCGTAGGGCTTTTCACCTGTATGAACACGGATGTGTTTCTTGCAATCTGTCAAAGTCAGAAAAGTTTTGCAGCAGATTTTGCAGGCATACTTGCGAGCTCCCTCTACAACCAAAACATTGTGCTCTGATAAGGCCTTCTTGCACTTTGACAGAACATCTGCAGATGCTCTGGTCAATTGTGGAGGGCCAGGCTGGGAAGGATGGCCATTTTCAAATGAGGATGTAGCTCCATTCATCATTAGCTGGGAACTGGTAGAGTTTTCTGGGATCTGTGAGCTCCTGACAGAAGTTACAACTGGCATTTTGGGAGCTATGCGGCGATAGTATGGAAAGTTACTGGCTCCTCCCCTTGGGGAACCTATCATTACCCTGGAGAAGGAGGAGTGGAGGCCCAAACCAGACCTGGAAAAGTCCATCCCAAACTGTTCTCCTCCTTGGTAGCCTGAAGTCTGCACACACGGCAGGCCCATCACCTCCTGCATAGGTCTGACAAAGTGGGAGTCTGCAGGTTCACTAAATGGGTTCTCTACATGGGAGCCAGGGGCAGAGGAGGGCCCACCTGCAGGCCCAGCCTCTGGACTCAACAAATAGGGGGCCTCACTCTCCAGCCTGCAGTCACTAGTGGTGTTTGGGATATTATCATCATTGTTCTGATTTGCAGTAAAGTTATTTCCTCTGCTCTTGTTAAGAAAATTTGAAATACTAAAAGTGGACTTATGCTCTAGGTTATTTGTGACCTCCAAAATGTGGATATCACCTACCCTGTCTGTGCTAGACTGGGGGTCTGAAAAACTCCGATCACTGCTTTCAGGGCTGAGGTCTATCTTCTCGGCACTGACCACAACTCCTTCCACTTCTACAGACTCGCTGCCTTCTGCTTGTGAGGTCACATCGCTCACTTCATCCTGAGGCTCAGGCGAGCTCAGGGGCTCAGATTTAACCACCACTCTCATGTGCTCCTTCTCACCAAGGCCAACCTCAGGATTTTCACACTGAAAACTACTTTTCTCAGTTGCAGCTTCCTGATCAAAACTAGTCTCAACCTGAGTTGCCCGAGAGGCCATGGACAACTGTGCCATGTTGCCAGCACTGTTATCAGACTGGCTGGGCACCTGGGCATCTTCTTGAGTGCCAAAAGACTGATCAAACATGATCGCACTGTCTTCCTGGTTATCAGTCATTCCATCAGCTTTAGGATTATCCACAATTTTCAGAGAATCTGGTGAAAAGAACTCCTCCCGAGAATGAACCCCCGAAGGCCCATTCTCCGGTGTAACATCTGAAATGGCAGACTCATCCATGGAGGGTCGGAGGCGCTGCCTGGCCCGCTCTTCTGCAGACTGCTTGCGCTTATGAAGGCGTCTCATGGGGAAGGGCGTGCGCTGATCCAGGTTATTGCGCATGGAAGAGCTCATGGGGGCTGGCTGCTCCTCGCCATTCTGGCTAGAATTGAGGGCTGAGCTCACAATACTTAGTCCCAGCTGCTGTAGCATAAAGGAGCGCTGCATGCGGGCACTCTGCTCCTGAACGCGCTCACTGGGGGGAGACATGGGCAGCGTCCTTGTCGTTAAGTAATGTTTACATGCCTTAACAACAGAGTTCAAATGCAGGTGAGAGGCTGCCAATAAGACATCCATAACATTGCTCTCCCCCAGCATGAGGGTGGAGGTATACATCATGTCAATCAGTGCAGCAAAGGCCTCTGCTGTCACCACCTCGCTATCCAGCTGGATCATGTTCATGGTCTGATCTCCTTCTGCCACTGAGAACAGGGCTCGGAAATGCGTGCTGCATGCCGCCAGCACGGAGCGGTGGGCTTTAAAGTGTCTATTCCCTACCACAATGACACAATCACAGAGCTGGCCATGAAGTCTCTGGTAGTTCAGCTGCTGGAAGATTTGTTCAAAGTGACCAGGAAAATCCATGATTCTACAGGAAAACAAAGAAAATGTTAAGACCTAGAAAAGCTTCAAAGTCAGAACACAAAGGGTATGATGAAAAGAGTGGAATGGATGGCCAAGCTTGGACCTTTGAAGCCTGTGATCTCTCTGATAATGGGCACATACACTAAGAGCTTGTCATATAAGGAGCAAATGCCAATTCAGCCATCAGCCCAGGAGGCATGCACACATGTGGGCCCAGCTACTGACAGGCTTCCCTTTACTCTTCATATGAGCCATGTATAACACTAAGGGGCTAAGTTAGTAAAGACCAGTGTGTGAGTGATGGATATCTATCCCACAGAAGTTTGTTAGAGTTTTGCATTCCCTAACGATGAGGAATGAATGCAAAGAAATTCCAAAATCTTAGGAACCTTAAATAAGTGAAAAGGGCAAATTAATATTAGTGTGGAAGATTTCCAGTTATAGAGGGTAGCAGATTGCACACATGCATTTGCCCCCTGTTCATTCTTGAAACCCCACTAAAATGACACTAAGCCAGGCGTGGTGGGTCACACCTGTAATCTCAGCACTTTGGGAGGCTGAGACGGGCAGATCACCTGAGGTCAGGAGTCCAAGACGAGCCTGACCAACATAGTGAAACTCCGTCTCTACTAAAAATACAAAAAAATTAGCCAGGCATGGCAGTGTGTACTTGTAATCCCAGGTACTCGGGAGGCTGAGGCAGGAGAATTGCTTGAACCCGGAAGGCGGAGGTTGCAGTGAGCTGAGATCATGCCACTGCACTCCCAGCCTGGGCGACAGAGCCAGACTTCATCTCAAAGAAAGAAAGAAAAAAAAAAAACACTGAAGTTTTTTGGTTTCGTTGTTGTTTTAAAGGTATACACCCACAAGAAAAACGAGAATGAGAAGAGCTTCAATAGCATTTTGGAAGCTGGGGAGCAGGTAAATCAGTGCTAACTGACTCAGCACACCCCAAAAGTGAAAATCCTAAACTGGCAGTGGATAAAACAACCTAACATATAAATCTCATTCCCAAAGGCCAAGGAACTGGTTGCCCTTGCCAGGGGAAATGGAATGAAGGTGTGGCTAAGGCAGGAGGCCTGGCTGAAAATCTATCCAATAGAAAAAACAAAAACAAAACAACCCTAGGCCAGATGCGGTGGCTCATGCCTGTAATCCTATAGCACTTTTGGAGGCTGTGGTGGGAGGACTGCCTGAGCTTAGGAGTTTGAGACCAGCCTGGGCAACAAGGTGAAACTCTGTCTCTACCAAAAATACAAAAAATTAGCTGCGCATGGTGGTGTGTGCCTCTGGTCCCAGCTACTCAAGAGGCTGAAGGGGGAGGATCACTTGAGCCTGGGAGGCAGAGGTTGCAGTGAGCAGAGATCACACCGCTGCACTCCAACCTGGGTGAGAGTGAAACCTGTCTCAAAAAAAAATTAGCTGAGTATGGTGGTGCGCACCTGTGGTCCCAGCTACTTGGGAGGCTGAGGTGGGAGGATCACTTGAGCCTGGGAAGTCAAGGCTTCTGTGAACTGTGACTGGGCCACTGCACTCTAGCCTAAGCAACAGAGCAAGGCCCTGTCTCAGAAAATAAAAATAAGTGAATGAGTAAGAAAAAGAGAAGGAATTAATCAGGTCCAATATCTTGACTACAGAAAGAGAAAAGTAAGAATACAGAGGGTGAAAATGATGTAAGAAATGGTTTTTTTGTTTTGTTTTGAGACAGAGTTTCGCTCTGTTCCCCCAGGCTAGAGTACAATGGCGTGATGTCGGCTCACTGACCTCTGCCTCCCCGGTTCAAGTGATTCTCCTGCCTCAGCCTCCTCACTAGCTGGGATTATAGGTGCATGCCACCACGCCCGGCTAATTTTTGTATTTTTAGTAGAGACAGGGGTTTTACCATCTTGGTCAGGCTGGTCTTGAACTCCTGACCTCTGGTGATCCGCCCGTCTTGGCCTCCCAAAGTGCTGGGATTACAGGCAGGAGCCACTGCGCCCAGCCAAGAAATGGTATTTTTTTAAATTTTGAGAACTGAATAAATTTTCTTATTAAGACTAATAAGGCCCAACAAGTACTCAACAATATGAAAATACAAATCCCCACACTAGGCTGGTATCAGGAATAAAATTGGCGTTTGTCTTTGCCATAGCAGCCCTGCAAGCTAGAAGATGACAGTTCCTTCAAAATTATCCAAAAAAAAAAAAAATTTCCAACTTAGAATTCCACACTCAGCCAAACTATTAATCAATTAGGATAAACTAAGGCATTTTCAGATAAGAACCCAAAGGTTTACCCTTTCTCAGGAAGCGACTAAGATTGCAGGAAACAGGAGACTCACTAGAGAAGACAGGCAAAGGGAATCCCAAGGATAATGATGAAGCCCCAGATGACAACTAGGCAGCAGGCCTGGAGAGCAAAAGCAGTCAGACTGGAGCAGGAAGGACTCCAAGGAGTGGGTCTCCAAGGGGGGTGGAAAAAAAAGGAATGGATAGATAACCTGATGTGATTGGGAGTGCTTAGAATTTACCAGTTCTATCAATGTGTGAAGATGGGTCATTAAAAAAGACAAGAAAATTTTAAATGGATCAACGATTAACTCCAAGAAAAAAACAAGGTTGTTTACTTGTAGGACACAATATGTAATGCATTTGTAGACAGTATTTACACAGTCATAAAATAAGTACACTAACCAAATGTGAGATACTGGGAAGATGAGAGAAAGCAACTTTGCATGGGGGGAGGGGGTAGAGGAGATGAGGTATAATAAAGTTAAATCTTCGCTTTCCTTATTAATCTAGAAATACAGTCTGAAATAGGTTATCTCAAAAAATAGTAATTTGGCATGTTATTTAGCAGTAGAGAAGTTGGTTGAGCATGGTGGCTCATGCCTGTAATCCCAGCGCTTTGGGAAGCCGAGGTAGGTGGGTCCCTTGAGCCCCCAGGAGTTCGAGACCAGCCTGAGCAACACGGCGAAACCCCATCTCTTACTAAAAATACAAAAACAATTAGCCGGGTATGGTGGTGTGTGCCTGCAGTCCCAGCTATTTGGGAGGCTGAGGTGGATCACTTGAGCCCGGGAGTCAGAGGTTGCAGTGAGCAGAGATCACGTCACTGCACTCTAATCTGGGAGACAGAGTGAGACCCTGTCTTAAAAAACAAACAAACAAACAAAAAGGAAGTCAATAGTGGAAGAAATAGCTGAAATAACTGAAAGTGGTTGCCTCTGAGAAGTGGGTAATTGATGGGGAAAAAGGATGGGACAGGGGACTGCTGTTCTGTTGTTGCTTCTTTTCACCTATAAGACTTATGGAACTATAGGCTGGGTGTGGTAGCTCATGCCTGTAATCCTAACCCTTTGGGAGGCCGAGGTGGGTGGATTGCTTGAGCTCAGGAGTTCGAGACCACCCTGGGCAACATGGCAAAACCCCATCTCAACTAAAAATACAAAAAGTAGCCGGCCATGGTGGCAAGTGCCCGCCATGTAGTCCCAGCGTACTTGGGAGGCTAAGGCGGGAGGATTGCTTCAGCCCAGGGGGCAGAGGTTACAGACAGCGAAGATCGCTGCACTGCAACCTGGGTGACAGAGCAAGTCTCTGTCTCAAATAAATACATAAAAATGTATAATCATATTTATAAAATTTTTTAAAAAAAGGTAGATCCGTGGCATTCTAAAGGGATATACCTGAGATCTTTGCAAATCTCCAAAATTCACAAATACCATCATGGCATTTCATAAGAAGGCAGCATGGGTGCCAAGCGGCTCCCCAGGCCCAACCACTTGCTCTGATGCCCCAGCCGTACAGTCTTACAGGCCAAAGTTGGTCAGGATCGTGGGAAATAACTGAAATGGCAAACTAAGTCCACAAAACCCAATGGTCTACTGCGGCGACTGAGACTATTATGCTATTCAGCTATACTTGGAAAGTTAACTATCGGAAAAGCAAAATGCCTCAAAGCAGCAGCCACGTGTTGGCCATATTGTTTTGCCTCCTATGTTTGTTGACCTCTGATTAATTTCCAACAACAAAATAGATCACTGAGATGCACACTTTCCCACTGAGGTGTCTGCTCTTTGCTATCATGTGTGAGAGATGAGATCTCCAAAGATGCAGCCACTGCCACATCCCTTCTTGCTTTACCAAGCTTTCCTGCAGAAAGCAGAGAGCCAGCAGTGGCAGGCAGCAGCACACACATCCCAGGTCCCCACCCAACTCACTCAGGGCCCACAGAGCTCAAGGCTTTGGGGAGATTAAACGAAATGCAATTACTGCTCATAAGTCTATAGCTCTGCCTTAGAAAGTATACTCATATATGAATAAGTGCCAAGTTCCAGAGGGGTGATTATTCTGTAGCAGTAATGGGGAAGAAACATTCTGGTTTGAGGAATAAAATAAATTAAACAGGGAGTTGTGGTGGGAAGTTGTACAAGCCTCAGAGTTGCTCTTAGCGACCATGGAAGCTTGGGCCCAACAGGCAAAACCAAGGAACACCAGACACTCAGCGTTATTGCTTTCTCTCCTACAGTGGGGAACAGACCCAGTGTATTAGTCTGTTTTCACACTGCTATAAAGAAATACCCAAGACTGGGTAATTTATAAAGGAAAGAGGTTTAATTGACTCACAGTTCTGCATGGCTGAGGTGGCCTCAGGAAACTTACAATCATGGTAGAAGGCGAAGGGAAAGCAAGGACCTTCTTCACATGGTGGCAGAAGAAGAGTGTGTGTGAAGGAGAAACTGTCATTTATAAAACCATCAGACGTTGTGAGAACTCACTGTCATGATAACAGCATGGGGGAAACCACCCCCAGGATCCAATCGCCTCCTTCCCTCCACGTGGGGATTACAATTTGAGATGAGATTTGGGTTGGGACAGGAGCCAAACCATATCACCCAGCATTGTAGTAAGTCTCACTGGTGATAGTAACAGAGGTAATGGTAGTGGTAATAAAATATATATTTTTTAATGTGCTTTTTTCTTTGAGACAGGGTTTCACCCTGTTGCCCAGGCTAGAGTACAATGG